CCCGTTAAGACCTGCAGGGCCGAATCTTGATTTTGAAGGATCAACTTTATTCGGTCAATCGGCGCCGTGAGACTCTTCGCGACCGCCGCCGACACTCCGGCGACCAGGAAATTGAGAATGAAGCGTTTCGCGTCTTGTGAAGCGTTCGAGGACATAAGGCGAACGGTTGTGGATACCCATCTACATTTTACGTGCAATTTTTGTGCCCTTGTGGCAAATGAAACATAAATGCCAAATTGGGTTTTGTGTCATGAAAGTGACACACGTCACTATAGTCCTTTGTTAAACCGTTTCATACAGAAAATACAACCCCCTATTTCGCGGTCACGTTACATCATAATTTCCCTTATCTAAAATTACGCACAATACACTCCCTTGAAAAAGCCCCCTCCAAGAAAAATTGAAAACTGGATCGCTTTAGACTCAATCTGGTACAAAATTGTCGACGTCGTAGATGGCTACTTCCTGGTGCTTCGGGAACCCTTACAAAAACTGCGCGTTACTGCGGAAACTTTCCACTCCGTAAAATGGTGACACTCTGAGCGATACTATTAGCTGGTAATAGATCGAATATGCACTTGCTTTGGTTTACACTTTGACTGGGTACTATTGCCCTAGACGACAATAGTTTTGGGTACCTACCTTTTAAAATATTTCGCAAGGTTGTAGTGGTGCGCGTTAAAAACCTGCAAGTTTTCTTTTCTAAATTTAAACTTACAACAAATGATACGTTTACAAAACCTAATATACATTATACACAGTTAATTACAAAATTTTATTCCTTCACATCCAGGCCAGTATTTTTGACTTATATTTGTCATTTGTTTCAGGATACAGCTGATGATCGCCCCCTTTCGGTAAGTGCTTTTCTTATTACCAGGGTTGTGGGATTTGCTAACATGTCAGTGAATAGTGAACAGTGTACGAAGATCGGCAACCATGGACTTTTTGGTATAGGTATTATACTGCTAGATGGGAAATAAGCGAGCTATTAAATCAATCATTTTCCACAAAAATCACTTTACCAGTAGTGGGTGTAGCTATGAATTCATACTTATGCCTAAGCATACTAGGTAAAGTGCTTTTTTTGGAAATCTGACTAATTTGGACGGTTCGCAATAATCTCATGTAGTAAGTAGGAGAGGTAAGCAGACCTCCATTTATGAAATTGGTGATGGATTTGTTGCATTGATGACTGGATATGTGTGAGGCAACTTTGATCTCTAGTAGCACTTTTAAATACTATATGACTCATTAACGCAGTCGTAATTTTAGAATAATGAGAACGGTAAGGTCGACGACAATGTGTGTATTGTCGAAAAATCATCACGTTCATAAACCACGCTAGCGGATGGCGCCCAGATGTCGCCGACCCCATATCATATAGCTTCTTGATCCGTCCCTAAAGGTACGCTCCTCGCCTACAAACGATATTCTACGGGCGCTCATTTGCTGCCTGCGAGCCAGCCAGTCAGCTAACCGGCAAGAGTGAGATTAAAAGCTACTTTTTACAAATAAATTTTCAAAAATGCGCTAAAAATTAAAAAAAATACTTTCTTACTTTACAGAGGTCTAATATAAGGGCTGCAATTGTTGCGACGCCTCAAATATTTCTATTGGTTTAATTGACTATACGTTAAAAGGGTCACCAGGAGCCTTATATGGGTATTCATAAAAATGCAACCCCTAGTTGTTTGAAATTTACGAATATTTCTATTCACAGTACTTACTTGCTTTTTATTTATTTATTTATTATTTATTATTTTATCCCTCTCTTGTTTTGGGCCCTCAACAGGCATGCGCCCAATTACAGATGACCCGGCTAAAAAAAATCAGGAACAAAGTTACTGGACTATGTGGCCTGTAGAATCCATAATTTCAAACAGTTCCAAGATTGGGCTACTAGTTCAAAAGTTACAGCCCTTTGAATTTTCTTTTGAAATTGGTTTCTAGTCTATAACTTTTGATTGAGAAGTCTGATCGAAAAAGTACGAATTGTTTTGGATTCTACGCACCAAAATTAATAAGAAAAAGTGTTTTCCCGAGAAATTTTGGTGCAGTCGATTTTTGGTAAAAAAGGAAGGTTATACACTGCCTTTTTTTGAGCCCCGAAAAAAAAATTGTCTCAGATCGACCCGGAAAAAAAATTTTCTTATAGAATGTGGCCCGTAGAATCCATAATTTCAAACAGTTCCAAGATTGGGCTACTAGTTCAAAAGTTACAGCCCTTTGAATTTTCTTTCGAAATTGGTTTCTAGTCCATAACTTTTGATTGAGAAGTCCGATCCAAAAAGTACGAATTGTTTTGGATTCTACGCACCAAAATTAATAAGAAAAAGTGTTTTCCCGAGAAAGTTTGGTGCATTCGATTTTTGGTAAAAAGGAAGGTTATACACTGCCTTTTTTTGAGCCACGAAAAATAAATTTGACTATGTTGCGTTCGCCGCTCGAGGTCGAAAACTTGAATTGTACATTGGGTTAACAACATAAGTAGTCCCACAAAAAATCAGAACTACCGGATTTGACGCTTGGTACCCCCCATTTTTAGGAACAAAGTTACTGGACTAGTGTTCAAATTGCGTATTTTTTAGGTTTCAATATTATTTACCTACTAACAGACTCTTGGAAATCCCGACTGCGCCGCCTCACCTCGCACACCCGGCGAACTATGTAAGGACCTAGCGGTATGAAAGTGAAACACCCAGTAACATTTTTGGATTCTACGGAAAGCTCTGATGTAGATGTGCCCGTTTGTATAGATTTTTTCTTTTTGGGCTGCATGAAAGTGGCGAGTTTTTTTCAATATTTCGTTGTGAAGCCAACAAAAAAAGACTTAGGCACTTTTGTTTATATTTAAGGACCGTTTTCTCTTCGCCTTTTAAAGAATGAGAAGTCTAGACATTAAAAAAGGATAGCCCGAGGTACTTTCGCGGCTGCATTTTTTAAATGCCCAATTTTCTAAAGCTAGCTAAACGCCGACCTACTAATTGAGATTTAATTTCTTGGGGGGATGAACGTTCGGTGCCCTATACGCAAGGGCGAAACGGAAGTCTTGTAAAGACAAAGTCGTAGTGGCAAAATTGCCAAAGTTTCTTTCGCAAACTTCTGTGGCGCACGAGTAGTTTTCAAACCACAAAAAAAAGGTGCACGTACTTGATCAACAATTTCTAAAATAAAACTGCAATTACGAATTCTGAATGATTCACGAAAATTTCGATCAAAACGGAACAACCACTCGCAACTTCCGCAGTTTGTGTCACCCTTTTTACCACCTGCACCGCAAATGACGCGAAAAAAAAACCATTGTATCAACTTGAACTTTGCGAGCTACTGGTACGGGTAATGTTTGCTTATATTGTCGATTAAAGTAAACTCGTTTAGTAAATCCGAGCCGGTGATAGTAAAAAGTAACACACTACAAGCCAGTCGCGTGCTTCGAATCGTTGCGAGTGGATGTTCCGAGCGGATTTGTATTTAGCGCCGATTTTCTAACGTTGACAAAATGCCGGCCGATTCGGAGTTAAATTCGGTTTTGGTAAGGAGGCAGGAAATTAACGACGCCCTCGACAACGGGGATGAAGTCAAGTTTAAGTACAAGTTTGTTAACGTCTATACCGAATTTCACGAGTTCTCCAGGAAGGAAATTAAGCAGTACGAGCTGACATTTAAAAAGTAAGTCTGTTTTCCGCTTTTTTTTCGAATTGCTTAATCGCGCGCCGCAAATATTTGGAAATTACGCATTATCGTGTCGTTTTTAAACGCACAACAGAGTGATAACACGTATCGTTCAGTGATTCACTCATCAACAATATCCATCGTGGGACAAGGTTACATTTTTCACAATTATGCAAAGTCTTCCTGGTGAAAAAAAGAGGTTATTTCTGTACATAACTCACGCGTGGAGTTATTATGTCTTTTTTTAACTTTACCTACCTTTAAGACCTTTAGCAGATGTTTCGTTGCGTTGGAGCGTTTTCTATTTTTACCCCTCGAAAGGGTATTGATTCGCTTGTTGTTGCAATTCGCAATTATTGGAAAACTTGTGTTTCCCTCGACTAACAATCAAACGTCCAGAAAAATACTTTATGCATATTCAGTGAGGCCGTTCCTTGCGTGATAGTTACATCCTAAATCTTAATTAATTGGCCAATTATGTAAACGATGTGTGAGAATTATACAATTTTGGAAAACAACCAGGTTGGGTTGGGTGATTCCCAAGGATGTTCTGGTATCTGCAAATTTATGGATATTTTAAAATTTCTATAAAATTGTTTATCAGTAGATTTATTCCACTTTTGCGAAAGTTGGTTTGAATGCAATCAATAAAAAAAACTACTAAATGGAGAAAGAGTATTAGAAAATTACAATAATTAATAGTAGCAGAGGAATATTTAAAAGGAAATTCCACCATTCCACGATTTTAACATTTTTGGCAAATGCGTGAAATTTAAGAGTATTTAAGTGTATGTTTCGCCTTAAAAGCTTCCGAACACTTTCTTTAATCCGCTCTTTTAGATTTTTATGAACATTTCTGCCGTTTTCTACATTTATGAATGTTTATGATGCCTTCTTCAATGAATAAACTCTTGGTGATAACTCTTGAAGGCTGTTAAACACCTTCAAGGATCAGAAAGAGCTCCCTGTTTTGTACACTGTGCGGATTTTTTGAAGCCTCTTGAATGAGTTTTATAAAATGCATTCAAGAGTCCGGAAAAGTTTCTTCTCTCTAAACTTATCCTGATAATTCTTGTCACTCTTGGGGTTTGTTGAAGAAACATTGTATTAAAAAGCTCCAATGGCCACCAGGAGTGACAAGAGCCTCTCCTGAATAGGTAATTTTTGAAGACTCTTTAAAATTATTAATTATTAGTGTATCTCAAATTTGGGACACCCTGTATAGAATTTACTACATCTTACTGAAATTTTAACAGAAAGCTCCTCCACGTCGAAAGCGGGAAAAGTATTTGTGGATTAGATAATTCACTCAATAAAAACCGAATCGATGCGTGAGAAGTAGATATAATAAAGGGAAGGTAGTGGGTCTCAACAAAATTCTTCCGTTCATTTCTGTATTTCGCCAGACTAATGACGTAGGTTGTCACACAATTATAAATTGAAACTTATAATACCACAAACAAAATCAATCTATTTACGTTGGTTTTTAAGATACAGAGTGAAAATGAAAAGTTTGACTTTGTGGGATGTTATCTTACTACCGAAGTATGATAAAAAAAAGGTGCCTACTTTTACGGAGAATGCAGTGGGGTAGTCTCAAAAATTTTGGACCACCGTTTCTGAGATTTGACCCAAATAGATTATAATATATGTTAATGTCAATTTTTTCATTCTTTTCCCTGATTAAATTGTTGTTTTACATCCATATAATTATCTATTATATTGCATCATATTTTTCACAATTCTGAAATGACATGTTTCTAACGTCGGCCATTTAGATCGATTGGTATCGGCTGCCTTAGTTACAATTGATTCAATAAACAAAACAAAATCCCTATGAATCCGTGGCCATACTATTTAAAAACAGTAAAAATAAGGTTTTATATACATCAATGCAATCAGGGCATTTAAATATACCAACTTTGGCCCAACATTCTTTTTAGTACGCCACTGAATTCTACTTAAAAATATCTAAAATAAGCATAGGCAGTTTTTTTGTCTTTCTTACATTGGTAGTAAGATATTATAACATCCCAAAAAGTCAAACTTTTCGTTTTCACCCTGTATCTCAGATACAAACGTATCTAGACACCCGGTACAATTAAATTTTATACCTTGGAAACGTTGTGACGGCTCGCAGGTTTTAGAATGGCGAGCCGCGTGTTTGACATGCTTGCCACTGAAATGAACATTGAACCTCTCCCTGAAACTCTCATAATATGGACGTGTGTGGTATTCCATACCCCCCCCCCCCTCCCGGATTTCACCAATAGTATTCCATACCCCCCAGCATTCCGATCTAAATCTCGATGAACTAAACAGCGACGGTGGCGCCATTTAAGCCCCTGGTGAAATCTGGATGAACTAAAAAGCGACGGTGGCGCCATTTAAGCTCCTGGTGAAACCCCCCAGACTTTTGTGATAATGTGTAGATCGAGGTGTAGCGGCACTGAACATTTTGGCAAAGAATGTACAACCCCCCCCCCTCCCGTATTCGGAGGATCTTACGATAATTGTAAGATGATACCTTCCATAGAGCTATGGCTGTGTGCTGGGTGGTATTCCATACCTCCCGGTAGTATATTCTCCCTCAACACGAAAAAAAAGAATCTATCGTACGCTTGGGGTATGGAATACCCCCGAGTATTGTTTCCCTATTTCCCTAGAGTTATGGCTCTATGCTTGGGGGAGGGGGTATTCCATACTCCTCAACCCCCCCGCCTCCCAGTAGTACATTGTCCCTCAACACGTTGTCTCCTAAAAACTTATGTGACAAGTATTTCATAAAGGACCGGCTAATCTTTCCTTCCTGACGAGTATTTTATTCGCGGGGCCAATTAAGGTCAATTAAATTGATTCGTAAGACTTGCCCACGTGTGCGAGGGTGTTTTCGGGAGATAATTTGCGTATTTCTTGGAATTTAGATTTTGATTTGATTAATTAATTAAAAATTGGTACGATTTTGAGCTTTATTGATATTTGATTTCGTCATCAATTAAATTGAATACTATCTAATTAGATTAATCCGCGGATTAATCAATTTAATTCGCGGTTTAGTTTCTAAGAATTTTCGCTAATTAATTTAATTCGCGACCCAATTAATTTAATTCGCCTTCTAATTAATTTAATTCGCGGTATAATAACAATAACTAGATACATGTAATTACCTTTTAATTGACGGTAAAATGGTTACCAAAAGGCGGTAAATTTAAAATTTGTCTGTCTCTTTTTTACAGATAAAAAACAATATGGTTGCAAATGGCAGGAAATTAAAAAAATAGACCGTGTAATTTAAACTGTTGTGTGACGTCATACACCTGCACTATCTCTCTCTTACTCATAGCGTTTATGTTTTCTCACTTCGCTATTCTAAAATAGAAGCTAGAAAGTTTTAATTACATTTATTATCAAATGTGCAACATAATATGGAAATAAATGATCAAAGTATTACATTCACAAAACAAAAATTAATTGTAAAAATTGGAAATATACAATACAAACCCGTTTACACACCACCCAGGAGGTAGAGTTAATGGCGCTTAAAATTAAATATTTACACAAGGTTGTAACTAGAAAAAAATACTGTCGTACTTTAATTTCTAAGTTGTGAATACGTTCCGTGGATTAGGCCTCCTGGGGAGACCACGATAAAAAAACGCACCATTACCTCTACTTCTTGATTGGTGTGAAAACGGGTTTGTATTGTATATTTTCAAGTGTAATTTTTACAATTAATTTTTGTTTTACTGAAGTGTAAGAGAGAGATAGTGCAGGTGTATGACGTCACACTACCGTTTGAAATTACACGGTCTATTTTTTTAAATTTCCTGCCATTGGCTACCATTTTGCCGGTAATTGAAGGGGAATTACATGTGTGTGTGTAATTACTCATTACATATGTTTAATAATACCGCGAATTAAATTAATTGGACCACGAATTAAATTAATCAAACATCGAATCAAACTGATTACGCCCCGGATTATATATTGGATAGTAATCAATTTAATTGATGATGATGGCATGAATTAAATTAAATGTCTTTTCTTGGAACGATCGTAATATCGTCGGGAAGGGGGGGGGGGGGTATTCCATGCCTCTCAGCCCTCACGTTCCCTCGCATAATCAATCAATCGAAACACGACTTTACTCAGATTGTCCCCTAAAAGGACCTTACTCAAATCGACTGAATAACAAATCCCCTTAATTTCCTAGATCAGGGAAAGCCAATATCGAGAAAAATTCTCCAAAACCACTCCCCCTCTGAGTAAAATTTTGAACGCCCACAATGTCAAAATTGGATGAAAAGGATCTGTCAACCTGTAGCAAAGCTGTTCAGATGAACAGCATAAAAAAATGACAAAAAGAAGCTGCTTCAGTACGTTGCCTTGTGGCACTCCATACTCCATAGCAATGCAATCTCGATCAAGCGTAGTTTTCACGAAGATTGGCGATTTGTAGATCTTATTCTTGGAAACAAGTGTCTACTTTCCATTTTATTCAATAATCGATGTATCGTGATTAGTTTTATTGCGAAAAGCTAACAAGGTTAGTGGATCGAATTTCAATTTTGGTAGCGTGGGTGTAACCAAATAAAGTCATCTTTCAAAAGCTACGTCTCACAACTTCGTGCCCACGTCGTGCTAATCTAGATCTCCATAAAAAAAGCCTACAAGAATGTCGGAATGCGAAACGTACGTGCGTAAAAATTCCTACACGAAGTAGTCAAATTTATAATTCACAACGAAATTACGCAAACAAAAAAAAACACAGCTGTCGATTTCCTTTATGCAAATTTGTATTTTTTGAAGAGTGACTTTAAAACACCCTTTAATTAAACTTTCACACTCTGCGAAATTAACAGTAATTAATCGCCTCTTCTTCATCAGGTCAACGCTCAATCTTCTCGTGTCATGCAACATCTAATCAAAGTTGGGATTTTTAAATTAACCCAAATCTTTCCGCTTTAGATATGGTAGGCGGATTGCGACGTTTTTTT